GTACACACGGAAGATGTTACACGTGGTAACATTTTTCTCTTGATTCCTTCATATTTTTATTGGAAATTTTAGTTAATCAAATTGAACATCTTGGACCAGGTTAGTAAGGCACTCCTGTCAGTATTTGCTACTTGCAAAACGAAGGGCATCATGTTTGAAGAATTGGGATTGGAACATATGCATGAATCTTCTCCTGTCATACCCTTTAAGCTTTCAAGTAATACCTTAAGGGGCATACAATTCCAGGTAATAGAAGTTTTCAGCTCCCTGATAGTGATTAGTGAGATCGAGGTATAAATCTGTGGGATATGACTCTTTTTTCTTTTTCAGAATGACGCTTTCTTAGGCCCGGTAGCTTTTGATTGGGTTGATGCCAATGTTTGGTCTTAACGGCTCTAAGGACACCTTCCTTCACTCCACATGATAATTTGCAGCAATAAACATTGGTTCATGTATGGTTTCTTTTATTGTTAAATAAATTTTAGAATTGTCTTTTTTATCACTTTTCTACAAGGGAAAATAAGAACATGTTTCTGAAATTTTGGTTATGATGCTTTATATATTTAAAATTTTTGGGCAGATTGCATCAGAACTTTACACGTTGTTCCAACTTCCGATGTTTCAAAAAATGCATTAGGACAATCTCATGCGCACCGGTTTGTAACTTTCTAGGATCTGAGTAATCTGATCCTTTTACAAGTTTATAAAACAATTTCATTTGATTGATGGTAGCATCTGATATAAAATTAATTTGAAAAAGAAATGATTCCTTAATAAAAAACTAGAAATAGATAGGATGGTTCAAAATGGTGACAAGAAAATAAAATGAAAAATGGAGAACATATAGGTATACAAATTTAAAAAAGTTGTCCTAAATAGGACTAAAAACGTTTGTATACGATACATTTTCTTATGAAATTTGGAAAATTGGGGCTAGCCTTATGTGCTTTTGCATTTTTTGTATTTTATTTCTAGGTCCACTTTCATGATAAAGAAATACTACGTATTAAATACTCTACTTTTGAATTGATATAAATGTTAGCATGCCAAATATTAAAACTAATCATATCAAATCAACATATAGTTTTCAAAAAAAATCAAATCAACATATAATGCACATATTTTAAAAAAATTATTGGGCATTTTATTCTAGGGCTGGGACCGGTTCGGTTCTTACTCAAAATGAGTGGAACCGTTATAAAAGTTTTAAATAATGAAATCGGTTCGGTTCCTATATAAAAAATCAAAAACCGTTATGGAACCGAACCGGTAGTAAACGGTTCGGCTCTTCCTTTTACCGGTTCCTAGAATATTTTTTTCTCGTCTAAGAATTAACACATAATTTTAAACACGTCGAAAATTCAAAACACGAGTATTAAAATTTTATTTGAAGCTCTAATCACTTCAAACATCAAAGCTCAAGCTTAACTAATGAACTTTGAACACTTAATAGAACAAAAGTGATATAAATTTTCATGTAATAAATGAAACATTAAAAATCGTTGTAGTGTCGGAGCGATGAAGGTTACTCGTCATCATAGTAGCAAGAATAGGACGCCTACTTAAAGTCTTTCAAAACATAAAAAAAGGCATTGAGTTTGCATGTATAGATATAAAAAAACATTATTACATTCTATTGATTCATAATAAATCTAATAATTAGAAATATCATGAAAATAGTAAAGTAAAATATGTGCAATCAACTACAAGTTATTTGGGTTATTTTATATTTATAAAATTTATGTGATGGAACAAAACTTGATTTGTAGAAAGGAGTTTAATGTATTATATCAACCTCATGTACAATATTTATTACTTCTTTTCTGTTGATTAAATTAGAATTGTTAGTTAAATATCTTATATTGTTTTATTATTGTTGTTGTGGTGATGGTTATTATTGCTATTATATTATTATTATTGCTACTACTACTACTACGTACTACTAATATTATTTTATTTTTTATTTTTTTTAATAACGGTTCCTTAACGGTTCCATGCACATATTTTTTATAGGAACCGGGAACCGAACCGTTATAACCCGTTTCGGTTCGGTTCCTACAAATGAGGCATTAATTGTTAACGGTTCGGTTCCTAGATGTTGTTAACGGTTCGGTTCCAATCGGTTCTACGGTTCCCGGTTCCAAAATCCCACCCCTATTTTATTCTATCGCGCAACGCGCGTGTAGAAAACTAGTATATATATATATATATATATATATATATATATATATATATATATATGTATATGTATGTATGTATTGTAATGTTTGATTTTAGATTTTGACTTTTTGTTTCGATTCGTTTTATTTTATTATAAATGGCTCGATCTAACCTCATTTTAACTCATACTAGTTTTGTATGGAATAGCTCCGAACTCTTCGAGAAAGAGGGGTGAGAAAAGGCGGTCGTCTCCTAGGGTTTTCCTAGGCTGATTTTCTGGCGACGTCCTTTTGTGGTGTTTGGGTCCGGCGTTTTCCCTCTCCGTAGGATTTGGGCATTGAGATCGAAGGAGGACGATTGCAGATGGAGATGGCTGGCGTTGGTAAGCAGGGGATTGGTGATCAATTTGTCACAGATGGGGATAGTCGAGCTGTGCAGGGTACGGACAACGTGGAGAAACTAATCGGTCTCCCCCTGATTGGTGCTTCAACAATCGTTGCGAGGGTTAAGCCTCCTCCAGAACCACCGCCAAGAGTTGATCGACGTGTTTTGGAGTTTGCTCATAACTTACCTTTTCTGCATTTTAATTTCTAAGTTAAGACGTTTGTGTTTTGTTGTTATTTTATTTTATGCTGTAAGACTCTTGCACTAGGTTTGGGGGATGAGAGGTCTACGGTAATCGTCATTGGCTTAAATTGTCCAATTCAGGTCTAGCGAGTTATACAGCTTTTTTATAGGTGGTTAACTCCCAGTCTCGGCCAAGGGCGGATGATTACATGTGGTTCTTTTATTATCTTGTACCCCTGCTGAATGCTATTTTTATGAATTAAGCCCTATTCGATCAAAAAAAATAAATGGATCGATCTGTTAGTATCTCTAGATTGTTAAATGCCCATTTGTATATATGTGTGTTAAATGGCTCACACTAAAATAAATTGCTCGATCTGTTAAAAGGTGTGTTAAATGGCTCACACTAAAATAAATTGTTGGATCTGTTAATATCAACTTTGACAAATGATATTTTTAATACAAAATTAATTTGAATATGTAAATTATATCAAAATGTCCCTTATTCAAAATATTTTCATAAAGGTATCAAATTTACAAATTATATAAAAATATAATAATTACAATCATTAGCCAAAGTTTGTCATGATTGACCAAGAAAAGTCAATATGACGAACCTTTTTAGGACGGAGGTAGTATGAAAGTATACAATCTAGAACTAGGTGCATGGTTACTCGAATGTATGTTCATGATGAGTGATGACAACGGAAAAATGGCCAAGTAAGAAAATGGCCTTTCTTATTTAGTTATTTATGTGGGGAATGTCATAAGAGGGTGTTTGTTTGAAAAAATGAGAAATAATTACTCTACAGAGGATGTTTGGTTCGAGATAAAATAATTACTTCGCATGCAAAGTGTAGGGATGTAAAAGGTTTACATTGTTTGGCTGAATTATTTAATATAAATTGTAGGATATTTTTTAAAAACATTTCGCACTGAATATATTTTATTCATTTCGTACTATTTAATATAATAGTAATATTTTAAGATAGATGCATATACACTTTAGAAAATATATAAATTGTAGCCTTGAATCATATTGTAGGACATTTCGTACATAAATTGTAGGACGTTTAACCTTTAAAAAAGAAATATATAAATTGTAGGACATTTCGTAGTATTTAATATAATAGTAATACTTTATATCATAGCCTTGAATGATATTTTGGAACACTATTTATTCATTACAGGAAAAATTATATTTGAAAAGTAGTAATTTAAAATGCTTATACACTTTAGAAAAATAGTAATCATAGTAAGATGGAATGGTGTACAAAGGCATACTATTTTTAACAAAGTAGAAAGAACAAAATAAATGTAAACATAATTGATAGTCTACTAAAAAGTGGGGTGTGTTATATGTGGCAATTAAGATAATTTATAATTTTATTTGAACGGAAACTTTTAGATTTAAGTTGGACTTTATCGGTCATTATCGTTTGATTTGGTCTGACTTGACGTGCTTAATTTTTCTCTAAGCTGCATTGATCAGGCCCGTTAAGTTCTGTATTATACTTCGTATGTGCTTTTTTTTGTCCCGGTAGGCAAACCACCTAAGTCGGTGGGGCAAATCCCACCTATTGCCCTGCTCTAGCCCCACCCCTGCCCCAACCAAAAAACACTCTCCAGCCTCGCCCAGCCCCATATCCAGCCACCGTCAGCCCCCTTCACCGCTCCCAACTGCCTGTAAAATCACCACCCAACAACAATGTCTGCTTCTTCGAACCGCCCAACGCCACTACTCCCACACAACCACTAGCCCGTCGATGCCAGACCATTGCCTCCGCTCGTCACCCTTAGCCTCCATCACCGCCACATACAGTAACACTAGCTGCCGCCATCAGCGGTGTACAACCGTAGATCTGTTGTGGACAGCGGATCCAGCGATATTCGTTTTTGGTCGATTTCAGTTGCCCTGATGAAGAAGAAGATGTACCGTCGAATCAGGGAAGCAAAGGTGAACGAAGAAGAAATAAGAAGAAAACGAAGAAATCAGATCAATTGAAGATTCGGAGGTGCTGTTTGCGGTCTGGTTCTATTTCTGTCCAATCGCACAACCGGTCGTGTTTGTGTCTTTCATAACCGCATGAGTTTTATTCCGGTCATCGTTTCAAAAGTTAAATAACACATTTTAAACAAGACCATCTACTCCCCATATTAAAACAACTCTATAAGAATGAAGCAAATCTTCCGTGTCTTTTGAACTCATCACACAATTGTACCCGGTTTTCATCCCGTTTTTCTTTCCCCTCTCACCCTCTAGAAAACGGTCACCCATCCATATATATGATACAAATTATGATAGTTCTCACAAAATTGTTAAAATGACACAACTAATAAGAGAAGTAAATTGCAACCATAAACCTACCAGTTTTTTTGACTAATCACGAGTAAGTCCCCTTTGGTACTTGAATAAAGTAGCATAAAAGTTTTTGTTCAAAAGAAAGGACAATTGATACTATTTGGACTAACTAATTTCTGATGCTTGATAGTCTCAATCATGGCAAGATACTCATTGCACGATTTATAATCAACCTTGCTCCGTAGCATTGGTGGAAAGAAAAGCCAAAAACTAGTAACCATCACAAAGGACATTGCCAGTGGCCCTGACACGAAACCTGGCAGTCTAAACTTCCCATCCAACTTTTTCTTGATCCATATTTCCAAACCCAAACACACCCCATGCAAGAGGAAGAAACACAACACTTCCCCACTTGGCTCCAACCTCCCAATGTTGAAGAACACGAGCTCGTGCATGATCCCGGATACAAAGAAGGTCACCACTACTGCCCCAAACTGGGCCCACCGACCTGACATCAAACGGGACAAGACAACCTTCACCGGGTCATACACCGTGGGCCGGAGGATATTGGTCACCATTAGGTTCCATCTCCTACCCCAGAAGTCCTGGAGCGAGGTGGAAAGGTGGGGCTCATCAAAGGGTGGGTCCAGCTCGATCCCTGAAATGGTCCCCACCACAGATCCTACCGCGACCAGAGAAAGTTCCAAGATGAAGTAAATGTGGAGGGAATAAAAGAACAATCGCATATAGAAATGAATGAATTCTTGATATTTGTACACACGAAACAAGATTGTTAAAAGGACCAATTTTGCAAAATGATTGATGGAAAACTTGTGGGCTTTTTTTAAGCTCGAATCCTCCGAAGTTTCCAAATGTTCATATGATTGAGTACGTGGTTTGACAGAAATCTCCGGTGACTCTGGAACAAATGTCTTCGATCCAAAGCGCTTGACGTGCTTGGGTTTGGAACCGCAACGAACCCGGTTCCGAACCTTTATTGGCAAACATGCCAAAGGGATGAAGGTTAAGAGGGGGAGGGGTGGGGAGGTGACCAAAGGGCCAATCCCAAGGGTAAAAAGAATAATCTTGAAACTTGCTAACCAAGAAATGAAGAAGGAAGAGATTGCACCAAGAGTTATAGATGTGAGATTGAGAGGAAGGACAAAGAAGAGACAAACAATTGGAAGAATAGCAAAAGCCCTTGCTAGGTTTGGTTTGGGGAAGACGTAGGTTCCTATGGTGTGGCAATAACATAAAGAAGCCACTACAATGGCCCATATTGTGACGAAATTCCTAATTTCACCTTCCATTATATTGTTCAAAGTACACTCGGTAGTCTGGTTTCATAGAAACCTTAGCTGTAGTGCTGCACAATAATGGAGATTCTTGATTTATAATGGTGTATTCATAAAGTCTTTGTTTATTTCAAGGTCATGAGAGAAAATGAGGGCACTCATTTTCAACAGCAAGGAAAAAAGGAGGAAAGGGATTACTTTTGTGTTGTTACGGCATGTTTGTTTTGTTGGCATGAATTAATTAATGCCCTCTCATGTGGAGTATTTTGACTTTATTAGGAAAAATTGCAAAATGCTCCTAATATCTTCAAGGTGTAAGAGAATCTCTTACATTTCATCCAATGACATATTTACCTTACCTAGATGTCAACATAAATACAAAAACATTGTACACTTAAATAAGGAGTAAAGTGTATATGAATTTGTCTCAATGGAGTAAAGAGTACATGAATTTATATCAAAGCTTATAAAGTACTTCAACTTGTCTTCGGTGGAATAAAGACTGTGAAATAAATAAGTACACTTACTTTCAACAGAGCTATGAAAATACTTCAACTTATTTTCATAATGCAATTATGGTACTTCAAATTTTAGTTTAAACAAGTTAAAAATTAAAAAAAAATTAAAAAAAAAAAAGATAATTTATAAAAATAATTGTTTATTTCTAAAAAGTGTTTGAAATTTGTAATATTTGATTTGAATATATATTGAAATAGTGTAAATTGAGAATCATCAAACATTTGATAATATTAGTAGTTAAATAAGAAAAAAAATAGTAGTTAAATAAGCAACTTTCGTTTAATTGTAAATATATATATTACGTGTTGATTTATAGGGACTTTGCAAATATTAATTTATTGAGTAAATTGGGTATATAAACAAGTTTAAATAGCTACTTTTAAGTTAATGATATGTATTATCCAAAATAAAATGAATAGCCTTTTCTTGATCACTATTAATTAAGTTAGAATATATGTTTTGTTTCCGCAACACGGTGTCCATGTCCCTTACTCACGGCTCTTGTATATGGAAATTCCATATAATAGTGCTATATGTTTAATAAAGTATAAATGAGTTCTATTAACTTTATGTATGCTAATTTAAAAGGCTATATATCCATTTCTACCTAATTTATTTCTGTTTTATAATTTTTCTAATTGCAGAATATTTCTTTTTTATTATAAAATCTGATTTTAGTGCATTAGCGTAACTTCGTTTCCCGTTTAGGCTTAGCACTCTCCAGAATTCACAAGAGTGCCTATACCGTACAACTTGTTGTACATCGAGCACTATACAGCTGGCGACATTTTTGTAATTTAAATGAAATTCACGTCTTCCACTAAATGAGCATCAATGCAGTTGGAATGAGCATTAGACATATTCTCTTGAGCATTAAAAGCCTGATAATGAGCATCATGATCCCTGTTTTATATATTCGAATTCATTTTCTTTTTCTTATTTTTCCTTTTGTAAAAACTTATTAAATTATATTTATAATCAACTCCTATGAACTTCAATATGTGAATTTAATGTAATATGATGTTTTTGAAATATGCATTGATATGTCATTTAAAAAATGAGCATAACACGAGCACCAATTGAGCATATGTAACTAAGAAAATGAGCATTGATTTGAAAATAATAAGTTTTGTTAATTGAGCATGAAGACATTTTCATTGAGCAACAAACCTCCTCTGTTGAGTATTAGAAACATGCAATTGAGTATCATGATCTCTATTCTCATGTCTATAATCAACTTTCATGTGAATCTAATGTAATATGACAGTTTTGATATGACATTTTAAAATGAACATTTATTCAATACTAGATGAGCATACTGCATACATAACTTACAAAATGAGCACTTACTGAATGTCATATGAGCATATGTAACTTACAAAATGAGCATCGAAAAAAATCAAGAGTTTATTTGAATTCTCTAATGCATTCAAATATTCATTTGTGTATGCCCATTTCATGTCTATAATCAACTTTCATGTGAATCTAATGTAATGTGACAGTTTTGATATGACATTTTAAAATAAACATTTATTCAACACCAGATGAGCATACATAACTTACAAAATGAGCATTTAACGAATACCAGATGAGCATATGTAACTTACAAAATGAGCATCGAAAAAATTCAAAAGTATTTGAATTCTCTAATGCATTCAATTATTCATTTGTGTATCCCATTCCTTTTAATCGTTATATTATACTCATTCGAAGATAACATAAACTTCTTTCTATAATATGTACATCTAGTAGATTCATTATTAACAATTTAATAAACTATTATTATATAAAACAATGTGAAATATAAAAAAAATTATTAAAAATAGTTTATAGTCTTTTGTTCTTGAATTCCAAATATAATTGTGATGTTTTTATAATATTTACTCGCGCACATTTATTTTGCACTATACTCATTTTAGTATAACACAAAACTCATATTAGTAAGGGAAAATTGTTAATTTGGTCCTCGTACTAACACAAAAAAGTCAATTAGGTCCTCGTACTTTTAAGAAAATCAATCAAATCCCTGAACTTTGTAAAAACGCTCAATTGAGTCCATTTGCATGTACTTGCCATGTCACCAGTCATCCGCTGACGTGGCACCCATGTGGCAACCCGCTCAGCGGTGACTTTGTTGATGTGTCACGCATGCGGAAGTCCAGTCATCCATTTGTTGATGACGTGGCACACACGTGTACTGCCACGTTTGCACACGTCCGTAGATGACCTGCTGACATGTCAAGTAACATGCAAATGAACTCAATTGAACATTTTTACAAAGTTCGGGGATTTGATTGATTTTTTTAAAAGTACGAGGATTTAATTGACTTTTTTCGCGATAGTATGAGGACCAAATTGAGGTTCCTATTAGTAATAACACACAATATTAATAAACTAATAAATATTTCTTAAAACAAAAAATAGATAAACAAAACATTAAAATATAAAATGTTTTATAATTGATTAAATAATTGTTAAAGTAAAAAATTGTTAGAGAGAGAGAAAGAAAAGAAGAAACGAAAAGATAAAAGAAAAGACAAAAGGAGATACGTGGCGAGCAAAAAGCAAGCAAACAAAGAAAAGAAAAACACAAAACAGAAAAGCTGAAAGCAACCTGCAGACGAGGAGAGTCATGCGACTGTGCGGCGGAAAAAATTAAAGAGCAACAGTAAAAACAAACTTAACAATGAGCCTCTAAACTGTCGGTTGTACCATGCTTATAGCCTGTAGTACCATATATTTTACCAATTCACACGACGTGATTGGAATGCAATAAGAGGCTTAGCTAGGGGGTGGCCAACTCTGGTACCGGCCCAGACCTAATTTAAAAAATATTTTTGTTTTTAGTGTAAAAAGAATCCTTGTAAATTTTTTCCTGAAAAATATTCTTTGTATCGGTTCAGTGTGGCTTAGTGTCCTGCTTCCGCCCCTGAATGCAATCTAGTACCTATGTGTACAGTGTACGTAAGAAATCTATTGAATTAATATACGAAGTATCTAATGTATACTTCAATATATATAATGTATAGTTCGAAAAAGTACATAATCACTCTACAAAAGTAGGCTGAATTATTTTCTTAGCTTCGATATAGTTAATTAATGTACTCTTCTTTCCTTCTTAACATTTACAATTAAAAGGCATTTACTTATTTAACTACTAATTTTATCAAATATTTTGTGATTCGTAATTGTGCAACATTTTAACATATATTCAACTCAAATATTTTAAGGGTGCAGATTGTTTATTTCTGGTTTGTATGATTAGTTTGATTCAGCCATTCTTTTGTTACTCTTCAGAAAGGTATTTTCATGTTTTCTCAGATATAGTTCTTACAAAATTGTTAAAATGACACAACCAAACAGGCTAATAACCTTGTTTACAAAACACAAATGAGTCACCTTTACTCCTATTACTTCGTATCAGATTAGAATATGTCAGGTTAGGTTGGATTGGACTTCTAATAAAGTAGCATAAATGATCAAAGGAAAGGACAAGTGATATTATTTGGACTAACTAATTTAGTATGCTTCAAAGTCTCAACAAAAGCAAGACACTCCTTGCACGCTTTAACATCAGCCATATTCTTTAACATTGGTGGGAAGAAAAGCCAAAAACTTGTAACCATCACAAAGGACAATGTCAATGGCCCTGACACGAAACCAGGCAGCCTAAATTTCCCAACCAACGCTTTCTTCATCCAATTTTCCAAACCCAAACACACCCCATGCAAGAGGAAGAAGCACAACACTTCTCCACTAGGCTTCGCCCTTCCAATGTTGTAGAACACGAGCTCATGCATGATCCCGGAAACCAAGAAAGCCCCCACAACTCCCGTGAATCGGGCCCACTGACCCGACACAAAGCGAGCCATGACAGCCATCACTGGGTCATACACCGTAGGCCGGAGAATATTGGTCACCATCAGGTTCCATCTCCGGCCCCAGAAGTCCTGGAGTGAGGTGGCGAGGTGGGGCTCGTCAAAAGGTGGTTCCAGCTCGATCCCCGAAACGGTTCTCACCACGGATTCCACCAAGACCAGGGAGAGTTCCAGGATGAAGTAGATGTGGAGGGAATAAAAGAACAATCGCACATTGAAGTGAATGAATTCTTGATATTTGTACACACGGATCAAGATTACCAGAAGAATCAATTTTGCGAAATGATTGATTGAAAATTTGTGTGCTTTTTTAGAAATCAGGCCCTTTGCTGTTCCCGACCCTTCATCCGATGATGAGTCGGTAACGGGCGGTTCCGATCCAAAGCGCATGATGCGCTTTGGTCGGGAATCACTAAGGGCCCGGTCCTGAACCTTGATAGGCAAACATGCCAAGGGGATGAAGGTTGAGAGGGGCAGGGGTGGAGAGGCAACCAAAGGGCCAAGCCGGAAAGCAAAAAGGAGAATTTTAAAACTCGCTAACCAAGCAATCAAGAAGGAAGATGATCCACCAAGAAATACAGAGGTGAGATTGAGAGGAAGGACAAAGAAGAGACATACAATTGGAAGAATGGCAAAAAGTCTTGGGAGATTTGGTTTGGGGAAGAGGTAGTTTCCTGTGGTGTGGCAATAACAAAGA